ATGAAATAATTAATTGCTTTTCCAAGACTTTAAATACAATTAGAAATACAACTACTTTAAGTACAATAGTTGTTAAAACATTTCTACTAGAATTTTACAAAATATGTCACATCAAACCATTCATTGTATTAATTTTATTTAATATCATTTCCATTATATCGAAACAACGGTTGCGAAATATTTTACATATTTACAGACTGTCCTAAATGTCCTAAAAATAATTAAAATTTTAATGATTTATAGATTTTAATAAAAGTGCAAATAATAAATGTATATAACATGTGTTGGCCAACACTGTAGATATCAATAACAGATTAATTAATTATTATACGATAGGCACCAAGGTACTAGTAAATATTAAATAAATAAACATGCCTAATTATGCTAGATTGTTTTGAAAATTATTATCTCGTTAAATCAGATTTAACATATTGAATTGTATACACGAGTAGTGGTGGGGGTCTAAGTGTGAGGGATATAATTAAATTGTGGCATGGTGGGTGCAAATATTATCATGATCTGTCACCTCAATGTACTGGTAAAGGCCAAATGTGTGATAATTTAACATGACACAAGTAATTCAATAAATCATTGATTAGATGTGTGTTGCGATACACTTGTATTATTAATCTAAAGTTATTAATTTAATTTATATAGCTATACAAAAAATATTCCAGCCCTAGTTAAATCAGTTATAACTGGTATTTGATTAGTTCAGTATTTTTAGGTGCAAAAAGTTTGCTAACGTTTAATTAAAATAATTATAAAGTATTTGCCATTTGTTTCAATAGTTTCAGTGATCTCTCAAACCGTTTGGCGAAAAGTTTAATTAACTTTTAGTTTAATTAAAAATAGTTTAATTAATTAAATTAAACCAAAAAAATAATAATGGCCAAAACAAACGATGACAATCTATCGCTGGTTATACACAAAAAGGGTGACTTACGGTTAGAGCAGACACCCATTCCCACCAATTTGGGACCCAATGGTAAAGTATACCCCATAACACTCCCTAACTCTCCATTAGCCATACCTTTATCGCAAATTATTATCATTGATATTAACCACAATAACATTGTGTCTATTCTTCGGATTGGGAACAGACGTGTTGTGCAAAACCCATTCGTGCGGCATATGTGGCACTGATATCCACTATTGGGTGCACGGATTTATGAGCAGTTTTGTGGTCAAAGAACCGCTAATACTTGGCCACGAGGTGAGCGCACTGGTCG